GCGATTGGGAAAGCACCTATGTGTGAGGGCTTTTCGGTTCAGTGGCCAATCCACGCTACGTTCTCTGATGAACTGACTTAGGGCGGGAAGCTATAGGTTGTTTGTACCTTGCAAAAGCTCGAAGTACAAAGTCACCAATAAGTTAAATGCAAGTAATCAAGAATCCTCTGGAAACTTTGAAATCCATTCAATCCATAATACAGCGTACTTGGGACGTACAGCCAACAGTATGCCCTTCAGTACGCATACACGTTTTACCATAGTAGGTATGCGCTGGGGTCCGGTCAGCCCGCAGTAACGCTGGAGTAGGCAGTTTTGCCCTGCTGCGCCCCTTCACGATACCAGAAAATTTTGGATTAATGGCCGTCGAGTGACAAAACCATCTTGGCTAGCCGAACAACCTCCTGGTGGTGCCAGCTGGGTGGTTCGGGTAAATACCATTCCAGCAAATGGTTCGGCGGCAGTGTTCCAGGATGTGTTGGGATTTCTCCTGGCAAGCGTTCTCCCTTTAAAAATCACAAGTATCCGTTTAACCACACAGTGACGTGGCGGATGTAGCTCGCCACTAAATAAAGTCACTGCCTTTTCCGGAGGATCGTTCACACATCACGAACGTCAGCCGATTCAAAGCGTTCCATAGATTCCCCCCTTTGATGGCGAACCCAGCGAACAAAAGCACATACAGTCACATGTACGTACTCACACAACATGTCCCCTTCCAACTACACAGTTAAACATAGTTTTACATCTCAACATACATATATTAATTCCTATGCTACTGGTCAACATGTACTAATTTATGCAACTGCCGATCATACATGTCTGTAATACCATGATCACGCCCTTGATGGTGTGTCTCGCAATGACCAGAATAAACTTTATTTATACCCGTCGTAGGTACTGGTTGTTGGATTTGCTTAGCTACGTTCCCCAACATCTAGACAATGCCTTTCGTAGGCGTTTAGCTGTGGAATCCATCCCATGTGGCTGTGCCGTTGCACAGATTTTCTCATGAGTAGTCGCACGTATTGTTTAAATATTCCTACTTGTTCATTAAACACGGCGTGCCGTACCCGGAGTGAGAAGTCCCAACCGGCTGCCGCACGTGGAATTCTATTCTGATAATGGGTCGAAGTGGAAGGCAAAGGCGATAAGACAAGCCAAGTAGAACAAGAATAATTGGCCGGTTAGTGTAGATCAAGGTGGCAAGGCGGTTTGATCGAAGCGCCTGAGTATGTGCGTAACTTGGCTCCGTCAACCCGTACGCTTGTAAGAAGTGGAATATAAGGCACAGGAACCTCCGCAAGCTATATGTTTCATGTGTCCCAGGCTAAATGGGTGGAGTCGGCCGTCAAAGTATAGCGGTACACAACTGACTCCTTAGTTCGCATCGCATCGTTAAACGCCTGCCAACTATTCAGCGGCAGTTAAACGGCAGGCTGTAGGCGCCTTGAACGAGCACACTGAAAGGATATGCATAGGTGATCGTTGAACCCTAGAGGTGTACCGTACGAAAGTTCAGTTACGAAGTAGTGTGACTTAGTAAAACCTAGGTGTAAATAAGATGGCACTTAGTTGGCTTGCTAACTGAACGACCTCCACTTAGTGCCAGCTGCAACTTCCGGGTTAATCCTCTTCCAGCGAATGGTTCCACGGCGATGTTCCAGGACCTGGTGGGTTGTCGCATCGAGTATGTTGTCCCTGTAAAATGCCACTGCTGTCTAGTTAACCGCACTGTGTGTTGGCGGATCTAACCCACTGCTAAATAAAGTCACATCATTCTACCGTTTCGGAGGATTTTAGCCTATTCACTAACATCAGCCAACGCGAAGAGCATATCTGCTCACTTCCTAGTTTGGCGAATTCACTGAACAAAACCGCAAGTTTAGAATAACAGTAACTACTTCACTCGATATATAATTATTTACACCCATTTACATGTATACGTACAAAATAAATCGTATGTGTACGGGTTAGTTTGTAAAGTTTGCATAAAATTCCGATAAAAACGCGTTTGTATTACTATGTTCATGCTAATTTAGACCTGCCTCACGCTGCCCAGAATAAAATTGTTATTCATTTAGTTTGTTTATTTGCGAGCCCTCGTACCGGTACAAGGGTATTTGGAGGGGCAGCTCATGGAGGGCCGAAAGGTCGGCCAAACGGACTTCTGGGTTTAAATCCCCTATAACTAACTACCTATCCGCAGTCTGAGAGCAAATACTGTCAATAAGCCCCTGCAGGTACATCCAGGGCTTCTGTGTACCGCAACCACTTCAAACTGGGCCTAGAGTTCACCTAACAGTTGATGGGGCTTCCGCAGCCTGATCAGACGACTTGCAGGCGGTTGGAATAACCTTTTAGTGGTGCCAGCAAATGTTTCGGGTTACTCTCATTCCAGCGAATGGTTTGGCGGCAGTGTTCCAGGACATGGTGGGTTGCCGCCTGGCAAACGTTCACCCAATAAAAGGCCGCAAATGTCAGTTTAAGCACACTGCGACTTGACGAATGTAGTTTGTCAGTACCTAAAGTCATTGCCACTTCTTATCCGAATGACCTTGTCCAACCCATGAACATTTGTCTTTCAATAAGAAGCTTACCAATTACCACTTCCCAAGCCGACGATCAGACAGAAGCGCGTATATGGCGCTACATTTGCAATCACACAACACAGCTATGTATATTCATGCCTACAAAAATAAATATCCACCTATGTCACTGCTTCATGTGTCGCTGCTAAACTTTTCCCGTTTTTTACATATAAAGGTCGTTAAAGTTTCTAGCACCATGGTCAGACCTATACGGGCTTGTCCCGCATTGTTGTGCATTAAAACATTTATTTAATTATTTAAATGGTACAGGTCCTCAACTCGTTTAATTTACGGCTCACTTAAAGCACAGAACTACCGCCTTGACGGCTATAGAGCGGCAAGCATATAGCAGTTAAAGCCAGATAAAATTACCTCACCGTCCGGGATATCCGGAGACAGCCATATTGCAGTGAAAGCAAGTAGATCAGAACGATATTTAGCTACGAGTAGGCAAAACTCCTGCACTCTGTTCGTAAAGCTACGCCCATTGCTAAATACTATCCGAAAGAACTTAGCACTAAGGACCCTAGATCGTGTGCCATCAAGGTAGGTTCTGAAAAGGGGGTAAAGTATTTCCGGCTGACCACCTGAAAACCCACATGACACAAGTCTTGCTCACCAACCGCCGTACTGGATTTGAGGTCTTTGATGGATTGCTTCAACCTCAGCCTATCTGCAAGTGGAAGGATTGGTTTACACTGATAGTACAAGCCTTAGCTTTGAAAGCAAGGCGCAGTAATGCTTTGTCTCCTTTAGGGTGGATACGACTACGCAAAGTACACGGAGTTTGGTATTGGGCATAACGGTAGAGACGTTCTATAGTCAGCTCAGCTTACTGGCAGTGCTACAGGGGAATGCTTGTAAAAGCAACTTGGTGAGGCACCACTTGAGCCACCGGATGTCCTCCAACGCACCTTTTGCAAAACAGTAATGGCAGCTTTAGTAAGGGTACAGAATATAACTCTCCTATCTGTGCAAGAATCGCCACGACATTGTACGTTTGCCCCACGAACCTCAGCTTCAAACATAAAAACAGGTGGCTCCGCTACAGACGTTGGCACAATCATTCGCCCCTAAACCGGAGTAGAAACAATGCTTGCATTTTTTCGCTACATCCTAACGTTTTATCTTATCGCGTGTCTTCGTGTCCTACCAAGGTCTTACTGGCAGCTTTAGTCTGTTTTTGCTTTTGGAAAACGGGTGCAAGTGCCTGTGATTTTGCGATCCTTTGAGCGGAATCAAGCAAAACCTCAGACTTTGTCTCATCGCTGGCCGGCGAGATGACCAGCAACTTTGATTGACAAGTAGGGCTTCCTGGTAATTTCTCCTTCGCACAATCGTCAGACATACTTACGATGGATGACCTCTGCTTTCGCCCCGATGACAAGACAACTAATGCACCGGGTTAGGCCAACGGTTTAAGAGAGTTCCTGCCACACTTCTTCTTTACTGTAGTAGACAAATGAAAGCTCAACAATTCTGCTAGAAGCACATTGATTGAATAAGACATCCTGTAGGAAGGGCAACCCGTGGACCAAGTGAAAGGCAACATCGGATGGACTGTCAGCAAAGGTTCAGCCTGCTACAGCTCCTAACTCACAAGCTTCGGGAATTCCAGAATCTAACTCGCGTTGCGTTTGGGCAAAGCAACAGAATAGTGCTCCGCACCAGCCTTCTCAACCTCTACACACCTTGATGCAAATGCTGTAAGGTTAGGACCGGTGAAAACTGGGCGTTTCAGTCGCTGTGCGATGCACTACAGCTAGAGCGAAAGTTCTCAATAGGTGTTAGCGTAGTTCATAGAGTTCCTAATGTTGTAGAAAGCCGAAGGAAAAACCGTTGTCAGCTCCATCACTTCCTCTCATCGGCTGGATGACACACGTCGTTGCTAAACTGTGTTCCCCGTGAGATCGTTAAAGCGGCGGCAAAAACAGAGGCATTCAGGCATGATCAACATGTGATTGACCAAACGTTATTTAAAACCCTCCTCTCTCTGTGCACTTGGCACTTAGTCATGGAAGTTGTTCCATTCATTCGCAACCCGTGTGGATAACGCGACGTAGGACCTGATATGGAGACACCAACTCACACCTATCCTTCTTACCAGCGACATTCTTTTGCAGAAAACCTCCAATGTGGTAAGCACCGAAAGGTTCTTGATCACCGATCGGCAGAACCCAGCACTTATAATGATTGATAAGCATTTGCCATACATCTACATTCTGCTATATACTATCCAATGTATGCAATGTATTTTAAAGCAGCTATTATATGCTTACTGCAGGTCAAACAATCCCACGTTTAATTAATCCAATTTTAATATTTTAAGGCCGTCATTGCGCTTCAAGGTTAGCGCATTGCAGCTGATGCCGCGCTCCCTGTGTCCCCTGTTTGTCCTCCTGAAGGTAGATGGGCTCTGTGGCACAGCTCATGGAACAAGTTTCAGGGAATGGACTGAGGTATTTTCAATTTCAATTACTCACTACTATAAGACACTGCCACAACCTAGCGAAGTACTCCCTTTATCACTCATTTCATCACCTTCTGTTCGATAAAACAGGTGTGTCACGCTTATGACGACCGTAACGCGTAGTCTCTGAGCTTTATAGAATATTGCAGAATTTACGGGGAAATAGAATAAAAAGAAAATCCGGCGCTTTTACTTTTTACGAAACCAGCTTGATTGTGAATTGTTTTCTGTTTCCCCGTGGTACATCCATTGTGCAAAATGTGTCCTACGAATTTGACGGTAGATTCGGTTCAATTCCTATGACAGTTACAGTATTCCTTGGTGGCGCTTGCAATCCTACCAGCTGGAGAATTGATACGGCTATTCCTTTTTTGGAAGCACATTCTATCACTTACTACAATCCGGTAAGTTCCTAGTCATCCGTGCTTCGCCATTGTTTGTGCTACTTATCTTCAAACCTTTTAAACGTTAATCACTTCTAAGTACGAGCCCGTTATTTTATTTATTTTCAAGGAGTTGGTGCATTACGTCCAACGTAATACTTGGTATATATGCATTTAGCTATATACTGGGCGTTCTTGGTGAACAGGAAGTCCAGCTATGATAAGCAGTAAATCGTGAGTCTTGGTGTTTACTTCGCCGCGGTTTCAAGGCAGAAAGGCCAAACGCGTTTGTGCCCGAAAATTTTTGTTTACTTGACTGTGGTTTGAAGCATTCTTTCGAGTTCTGCCTCAACTCTGTCGCCTCGACACATCACAGGTTTGTGCCTGCAAAATTGTGCGACAGCCAATAAGTGTACTAGTCAAACTATACCGATTGGAGCTTTCTGTCGCGACGCTTCACTGTTGGACTGTTCAGCCCCAAGTTGACTGGACAGACTACAGAACTAAGCTTGACTCCATTTTTGACCTCCATGGAACGGTTTTCTGCACCACTACGTTTGCTCTGTTCTCAACATTTCCAGTATTTACGTCACTCACCTGTCCTTCCACATATGGATTTGTCAGCATTTGAGCCTCATGACACTGTAATTCGAAATATTTCATTTGGCTTGAAAAGCCAGTTCATTGCACCTAATTTGTACCTTGTTGTCTTCTTGCTTGTTAAGCTTTTCGTCGCATTGTTATTGCTCTGCCAAGTTTACACTTTGTGTACGTTAGTCACTCCATTTCCTTGGGTTTTCAGCTTTTCATAATCCCACTGATCGGTGGCCTAAAGGATCACAAGTATACCTTGTAGTCCGGAAGTCTAGGGTTCGAGCTTGTGTAAGGCACCGAGCAACACGCAGTATTCGTAATCCACACGCGACTTGTAGTGGTTGCGCTGCAGCGGAGTGTCAGTACTGCTTGCCGACCGGGTTGTTCGAATACCGCTCCCGTTAGTATGCAGGTCTCCTTCAGTGCCATAGTAGTACTGTTCAACGGATGTCTCGGTATCTGTCAGTTTACACGGCAAGTCGACGACGCACCTAACGTCTGGTTTATTGGCTTTGTTTTCCAAATGAGAATACAGCCGCACCACAAAATTGTACGCTGTTTCCAAAGTAGTTTCTCGATAATGGTGTTTCCGTTTACATTTTATTCTTTGTTTCTTGTTATTTCCCGCGTATACTTTAATATCGTCTTTCCTACTGATTCAGCTTATCGTACTCCTTTATTATTGTTCCTGAGGACCCCCCTTGTAGGGCCTGATTAATCGGCATTTCTCCTTATCCCCAACTGCTTTCTGTTCACGCCTTTGTAATCCTGCTATCGTTTAATTTCAGCGTCATTCTCAGCTCAATATAAAGCTGCTTCGTCTACTATCTGGGACACTTAAACTGGTGTTCCAGGATGCTTTACGAGACTATTTTGTAAACTCTGTCGGACGCTTACTTCCAACTTCCATAAGACCTCTTCCTTGTGTGTGGTCATTTGACTACTGTTGTGAACGTCCATGTTGGGTTTCGACTTTCCTAGTCTAAACGGACGAATTTTTTCAATTGTTGATACCCACGCACGGAGTAACCTAGACGATTTGAATCGGTATGGTTTGTGAACCTAACCGGCAGACGTGATAAATAATGGAAATAATGTGTCAGCTGTACGCCGTAATGGCGCTTCGCTGCCGCGCGATCACCACCAGTCGTGCGCGAGCTGGGTATACCGCGAGAACACCCAACACCACGCTGATTCGAACCTGTGACTTTATGATTGCAAATCAGGCGTGCAGACCACCGGCAGATGTGAACTCGTAACAGAAAGTAGACGGAACGGGTGAATACCGCACAACTGTATCGAAACCTGTAGCTGGCCAGCGATGGACCCAAATTGACCACATAGCCATAAGTTACAGGTGGCGCGGTTCCATTCTGGATTGCCGCTCGTACTGGAGTACCTGTGTCGACTCTGATCATGCCTTGGTGCGCTGTCGTTTCTCCATAAACTTTACCGGAAGGCGCACAAAGCGTCTCCCCCGATTGGCAAGGAGAAATTGTCCCAGCCCTCGGTCAGGCAAGCCTATCAAGAAGCACTGCATACCGAACTCTCGCGCTCTTGTCCTAATGACACTGAACTTCAGTGGAATAGGATCTCGGCCGCTATGCACGACGCAGGAGCATCTGTTTGTGACACTATCAGTCGTCACCGCTCCAGGCACTGGATATCCGAGAGGTCCGTGAACCAGTTGGAAGCTAGAAGACACCTCCCGGCTGGTTCTAAACACAATGTGACCAGACGGGCGTGAACTAAAGCGGAGCCTACGTGCTGACAGGGAAGCCTGGTGGACCAGTCTGGCTCAAGAAATAGAGGAGGCAGGAGCAGTAGGCGATTACTGCAAGCTCTTCCAGCTACTCCGCACCACTGGTCCCATAAAACCAGGCGTCAGTGAGACAATCAGAGACAGCGCGGGTGCGCTGATACACAATAAGGAGCGCCGTATGGCTCATTGAGCGGAACACTTTCAAGATCAGTTCAGCTGGCTCCTTGCTCCCGGACCTCTTCCTACTCAGGTGATGCAGGACGTGCCATGGACGGTTAGTGTAGAGCCTCCGTCAGAGGTCGAGGTCCGAAACGCGATCACAGCCCTTAATCGTTTTCGTGCCGCTGGCCCGGATTCCCTCCCACCTGCACTATTTAAGGATGGAGATGAGATGCTCTGCCAACTACTGACCTCCCTATTCGAACGTATCTGGAAGGAAGGAAACGTCCCGACTAACTAGAGCGAATCGATTATATTGGCAATATACAAAAAGGACAGTCGCACAGACTGTGCGAACCACAGGGGTATTAGCCTAACGCCAGTTGTGACAAAATTGCTGGCCTCTATTATCGTTCGTCGCCTCACTGCAGAACGGGAATCTCGGATTAGGGAAGAGCAGGCCGGTTTCCGCCCAGGACGTGGCTGTATAGACCATATATTCACTTTGCGTCAGGTGCTAGAGCAGCGCCATGCATACCGCAGACCGACAATAGCTGTGTTCCTCGATTTCAAGAGTGCGTTCGATTCAGTCGATCGATCGATTCTGTTCGAATTTCTTGCGCGGCAAGGTGTTCCCACGAAATATGTGAACATCCTTCGTGCTCTATACTCGAACACTACAGGCCGCGTCAGAGTCTATGGTTTCCTATCGGATAGCTTTTCGACTACAAGTGGCGTTCGTCAGGGTTGTCCAATTCCCCGGTTTTTGTTCAATTTCGTCGTGGATTCTATCATGGAGTGTTCCCTTGCGGAATCTCACGATGTAGGCGTTGAAGTGCCTCCTGGTGAAAGGTTAGTTGATCTAGATTATCCAGACGATATCGTCTTGCTTTTCGACATTGCTGAAGCGGCACAATCAACCCTGAATAGCCTGTCCAGAGTGGTCGCATTATTTGGAATGCAATTCGCACGTTCAAAGTGCAAAGTGTTGCTGCAGGACCACCATCCACTTTATGACCCCTTGACGCTTGTTAACGAGGAACTCGAGGTGGTTTATCAATTCATTTATCTTGGCAGTTGCATCATCAATGATGGGCGCATAGAAACTGACATCAGCTCACGCATTGCAAAGGCCAGAGCTGCCTTCTTAAACCTGCGGCATCTTTGGCGACAGAAGGGAGTTACCGTCCGTCTGAAAGGCCGTGTATATAAGGCCACAGTGAGGGCCGTTCTGGTCTATGGTAGTGAAACTTGGTCCTTTCGATCTGAAGATCTGAGGGGCCTTCAATTCTCCAATCATCGTTGAGTGCGAAGCATTGCTGGTGTCGGATGGCACCAGCGTGTCCGCAACGATGATGTACGTAGGCGAGTACTAGGTGGTGATAATCATGCTAGCTCCCTAGAACAACAAATAGCACTGAATAAGTTGCGTTGGCTCGGGCACGTGCTACGTATGCCTGGTCACCGCTTACCTAGGAGGGCCTTGTTCAGTCTACCAGGTGTAGGATGGCGCAAGGCTCGAAGTGGACAGAAGTTGACTTGGCAGCGGGTAATGAAGTCACTGACGACCAAACTGGGTGCCTTTGGTCCGTCTCGCCTTCCGGGCTGGAGTCCACGTGACTCACCTTGTACTTGGCTCGAGACTTTACAGGACATGGCACGCAACCGACAGCAGTAGCGCGTCTGCTGCCGTCTCCTAATCGGATTGTCTGTTTAAAGTGTGTTTAGTGCTAAGTCATCTGCGGGGTAATGGCTGATTATGACGCGTGGCAGTGAAAGCCGCAAGGAAGCTGTCTCGCCGATGCCGCCTTATTTTTGCACGATAGCCAGCTTTTTGTCTCGGTATGTTGTCTACACAAGGTGTAGGCGCCTTGACACTGAATGTTGGCTTAGGGCATTAAGGTTTTCAGGTAAGTCCCCCTTCTCTCCCTCTTGTTATTCTTTATTTCATAGGTCCTCATGGTTGTATGCCAGCGAAGCATCAGTTCAAATGACTGATGTACTGCTGTTGATGATGATGACCCGCTGAAAAGACTGGCCAAGAGTGCTTTTACTGACTCAACCAAGGCAACCGTGCTTTCTACATCGCCCTATTTATGATTAACTAGCACAATAATTAATGTATAAACTTTAGGGAATGGCGTGCGTTTATGGGCACGTGAGTTGCCAAGTAATAGCCTATCATCTGGCGGAAATGGGCGGGGTCGATGCTGTTGTGACGTTGGGCATGTCTCAGTTGCTGGGTATGCCTGGCGTCTAAGGCATTGGCATGAAAACAGTTCAAGTGATAGATTGTTGACTTGAGGAGAGTCCGGAAGCTACGTTGGTGAGACTCGGGTGAATTCTGTGGGAACTGTGCGGGATACCTTGGCCGCGTTCTCACTGACGACAAGTACGTTGTGGTCTGCGCAGATGTGGGTGTCACTGGAGGTCGTTTCCGTAGGGACAGCTCCACTCTGAACTGTGTAGCATGGCTTTGCATAGCGACCGTGTTATTCTGCCCCGA